AAAAAAAAAAAAAAGATTTCATTGTGATGAGGTGTAATGAATTGAGTGCACTGGACTATGAGGCACCCAATTAATAAACTGCCTGCATAATTGGTATCTATTGGGGTAGTAAAATTATGTTACCTTTATACTAAGAGAAAATCTCACGTTAAATATACCTTCTCTTTGTGGGTTAAAGCATCCAGAGGGGATATAGTGGGAAAACAGTAAAGCAGGAAAAGCGGTTGATCAAAAATCAAGACAGCCAAGTTTTGATTCCTGCTTTCCTATTAAGTACTTAGACCTTAGATAAGTTACATATTCTGGGGCCTTCAGAATATTGGGGGCAGGGTAGGGGAGTAGGGGAGAAAAGACCAAGAGATTTTATATATATATAAAACACTTTCCAAGCTAAGCACTGTACTAAGTATTGGGGATAAAAAGAAAAAAAAAGTAAAAAGGTTATATAGCATGCTGGGGGATGTACACATGTCAACAAATCACGACAATACGTTGTATGAAGATTGTCTAATAGAAGCATATGAAAATTACCCTATGGATATTTCAGGATGTCAGTATAGCCAAATATATATATATATATATGTTTTTTTTCCTGAGATGGAGTCTCTCTTTGTCATCCAGGCTGGAGTGCAGTGGCATGATCTCTGCTCACTGGACCTCTGTCTCCCGGGTTCAAATGCTTCCCCTGCCTCAGTCTCCCAAGTAGCTGACAGGTGCCTGCTGCCACGCCCAACTAATTTTTATATTTTTAGTAGAGACGAGGTTTCACCATGTTGGCCAGGCTGGTCTTGAACTCCGTACCTCAGGTGATCCACCCACCTCGGCCTCCCAAAGTCCTAGGATTACAGGTGTGAGCCACCACGCTTGGTCCAGGAGATCATACTTGGGGTTACAGAAAGAGCTTGTGGGTTAAACAGAACTAAAATGCAGGTCTCCTACTTTCTAAAGCAGTACTCTTTTAACTATGCCAGCGATCCCTAAACTTTTGGATTAAAAAAAAAAAATCCCTCTATTTTAAAATTTTGCCTAAGATATGAATATTATTTTAAAAAAATCATACTCATCTATTACAATGACTTAAACATAAAAAGGAATTAAAAATTAGGAAGGATATAATCTTATAGTACCAGAGAGCCCTTTATATGCTATTAAAATCTAGCCAATGGCCAACTGACACGGGGATCCTCTTTTTTCATCTAGAAGATGATTTCATCATAACCTTACTCTAGAGCTCTAAAATTCTATGCCTTATTTTTTAAAAAAATATTTCTAATTATTTCAACCATTTCTCCTAAACTAAATTTCCTTCCTCATGCTGGTTGTTCTTCAGGATTTCAGTGTCTCTACTCAAAAACAGGTTGTTCAAAATTGAACAAAATGTCTCCAGACAAAAACCACTGCATTCAGGCCAACCATCTGATGCCTTCGGGGTGGAGAGAGGGAGAAAGGTACCCAATTGCTCTTATATAACCAGTATAAAGAGTTTAATTTCTTGAGGCTTTCCCTCCACGGGTATTTCCCATTTTGTTTCTGCTTGGTCTTCCTCCCCCTCTTCACCTTCTCTGATCACATTAAAGCCAGAAACTGGAAAACATCCAGAGCTGGCAACCCCATGACTATGTGCAAATATGTCAGCTAGGGAAAGCTGACTCCATCAAAGAGACTGCCCTAGTACAAAAATTTACCCTGACACACCTTGGTTTATCTGGTCATTTACAAATTCAAGAAATACTACAGT